TAAATTATCTTGCAACCCTTGCTAAAACTTAGCATTTCACATGACTTTTACTTTTGATTCGATTTACGTGTAAATTAATAATTGATTGCATCGCAATATTTTGCTCATTTTTTGGTGCCATTGATTAACCAACTTAGATCAATTAATCAATAGAGCTAGAATATTGCTTTAGATTCCAAAAACTAGTTGAATTTGAGAAGCTCACGAAACATAAAGGTGATTGAATTTCTGTTCGATTGCAATACTCTCAAATTTAATCCAGTAACAATAAGAAATCCTCGGAAAAAAATCTAATGGGAATGTTCGTTTGGCTCAGATTTTGACAGTTCATTTGGCTCAAAACATTCTCTCCACCCATCTCTCCTTCTAGTATTTCTAATTCAAACCATAAATATTTGAATATCTATAACTTTTTTTAGATACATTCTAGTACCGATTTTTTGTTAGGTACTTCCTGGACTATATTTGTACATAATTAGTTGCATGGTTCATGCAAAATTGTGGTCTCTAGGGATAAACATGCAAAAAAGTTGGTTTCCCATACTAATTTCCATACAAATTTCAAACGCAATGCGGAAAGCCGAGTTACAACCAATCGTCCCCAAATTTTGCACACTTGTTTGGGACTCCAAATGGAACCAAAAAGGGTTTTTTTTTCAGATTGGTGCAGTAAATTTTGCGTTTTTCCATATAACGATGACCCAATACATACACACACGGGCATTTTCGTGTCGATTGGTATATGACACTCGGCCCTTCCGGTTTCGGATCGAAAATCGGTTTTCCAAGCGGTATGTATACTAGGCTAGAGCTATCATTTTTCAAAGTAGAGCGATATGGTGAATTGTTAGATAGATTGTCAGACTGAAAATTCAGTTTCTTCCCAAATGATTTCAAACTTTGGGAGGCTAATTAGGACCAGATTTGGAACCGTTTGAGCACTGTGGAGCGTAAATTTTAAATTTTGCATAAGTCTAATGTATACCCTTGTTTGTAAGAAGGGTAACAACATTTTAAAGCGCTTCGGCAAACGGAGATCATATCTCGCGCAACACGAGAAAAGAGGTTATCATTGTTGATCGATTCTCTTCGTCGATTTTCTCTTTCGCGAATAATCCGACTGCAAATGAATTTCCCATACATTGTGTTGTTTCAGGCGCAAGCTAACATCATCTTCTGTCGAACTGTGCTGCGAGCTTAACGAGAAATTCCTTTATGTTGCCGTGGTAAACCAAAGAGAAAGTCGATGAAGAGAATCCATCAACGAGGATAGGCTCTTTTCAAATGTTACGCGAGATATTGTCTGTTTTGTTTCGTTCAAAATCGAACCAGTTGATGGGAATCTCAAAACAGATCGAAAGAGCAGAGGTTGTGATCCACAGAGTAAGGTGGGGCAAAACTTCGTTTCGAGGTTTTCCAAGCCCGTGCAAAATAAAACTCAAAGTTTGGCACTTGCTTGGAAGGTCTTTTAGAACCAAACTTTTCTCAAAAAAATGGTCATGTTTTCGAAGAATTAGAGGCAAAAGTTTGTATCGGGATGATCAATTATGACATTTGTACCAGCTTTGGGGGCGTAAAACAAGAAAAAATCTATAGTGGCGAAGTAATTTTATTTCAGGGAATGATTGCGTTTATCTTGAAGATGATTTTAGGAGTATCAGACTTTTGATATGCCATTAGGAATTGTGGGGCAAAAGGTCGAGTCGTCTATAAATCTCAAATGGCTAAGGCATTTATCTATTAACTCTAAGCAATAATAAATTAAGCAGAATGTGACACAAGCATCGAAAACATTACAACTCTATTTTGCATTTCTCGATTACTTTTTCAAAGAGTCGTATCAGTTTTGGTGAACAAAGCTTCAAACGTCAACTTGTCGAAACTCTTAGCACTCGAAAACTAACTCCACCATCAGAAAGGGTAATGTTTCCTGGACAAGATGGTGTTGTTAGTTTGCGTGCGGGGCTATGAATTTCGACAAATTGACGTGGCATATTTGTTTACAAAAGCAGATACGTTCCTTTGAAAAAGTAATCGAGATTTATTGTGGAAAACCACTATTTTCGAATGGATTTCGTTGTTCGCCATGTTTTAACATTATTTGGACACAAACATGTAGTTTGTTTATGTCTTATGTGACATTTAAAGTCATGTAGTGGGAAAACTTGTTAAAAACTGCCATTAAGTATGCACAATTTTGCTCAATTGCTGAATCGAAGTTTGCCTCAGTGCACAATAGGAATTTATTGAAAAATAGTGCCACTTTATATGATGGGATATTTATATCAATTTTTTATGAGGAATTGAATGCTTTTCCCGAATCATTTTTAGATAGTTTGGGTTGAAAATATGGGGTTTTTTAGCACCTATTATTGTGTAATGGCAAATGTTACATACCGTAAAATACGCAAAAATGAATATCAAGGGCTCAATTTAGACTATAAAGTATGCATATTCGCGGAAAATGGGACTACTCCTAAATATGTAATTTTCTACACCTTTTATGAGTATATGTTACTCACAAATGAATAACTTTTACTAATTGTTGTAGTATAAATTACTTATAAATGCGTAAAATTTGAGTCATTTTATGGGTAGTCACATTTTCCTTAAAAAGTGCGTACTTTATAGTCATAAAATAGTTTTTTTTTGATGTGATTCAATCATTTGTTTACAAACCCAATTTTATTTGAATGCTAAGATCATTGTTCATAATCGTATGAAACAAATTGCAGGTACATACAGGACTATGTACAATTTTCAGTTCACACATTCAAAATGTATGAAAAAACTACACATGGCTGGGTTTTTTAGATACAAACTCGATGACCCATACCGTTTTTAAACGGGAAAACCCGGAGGAATCAAATAGGATTGGTTTCATTATGGGATACGGGAAGTTGGGGATTCAGTGGAGAAAACCCATATTATCGCCCTAAATTACCCGAAATGATTCGTGTCATGAACAACTATCATAAAAAGCTATCTTTTGATGTATAAATATCCCATCATATCCAGAGAGATTGAGTGTTCACTCGGCTGTCAACAGAATCAGGACACTCTAGATGTGTGTCACGCGATGGTCTGTTAACTCGGCAGCAACTATTGTGTGGTCCTCCTCATTGATCGTCATCAGTAGTTCTTTCGGTCGATGCATCGTCGACTTTGGAAAGCAACCGTTTCGTGATGAGTGTGTGAGTGTTGACCACGTTTTGCGTCCATTGCTGCAATGGAAGCGCTTTGCCCCACGATGGCGTAACTGCCATACAATGAAACCACTGGAAGCGGCTGCATTTCTGATGGAGGAGGGTTTTTGGATAGCGGAAGATAAAGTGTTTATTGTGTTACCTTTTGACTATAGTTTTAAGATGTATTGTATAGAAGAATCCTCGGCTCTGTAAAGTTAATTCGGTTGAGCCTTATCAAATAAATTAATGGACAAAAAACAAGAGAGAGCAGCAGAGAGAGGGAGAGAGAATTTAAGAATGATTGAATTAAATTACTTTTTCTGAAAGAAATCCCATTGTGCACCGGTGGGGAAAAATTTACGGAAAATTTTCATAACGGACATGAGCTGTTCTTTCGAGTTGTTTACGCATGGGGAGGCGGGGGGTGCCTAACACCTCTCAAAATTAGTATACGTAGTTAATGAACAGCCCCTTAGTGGCTTGTTGAAATATCCCCTTCTTCAAATATTTAAAGAAGAATGAAATATTTCCTTCATAGAATATTTGAAAAGCATATTACTATTTTTGAATATCTCAAGAAGAAAATAGGGGAAATGCCGACTTTGGCAATGCCTTTACCAATTATCGTCAGGGGTAAATGATGTCATAGTCTTCATGCAAAAAATCAGCGCTCAAAGACTTCATTTACCTTCTGACGACAATAGGTTAAGAAGTGCCGAACCCGTACCCTCCCCCACCAGGGTAACCACGGGATTTTAATTTTAGAATACCATGCGATGAATTTTATTCTTATATGCGATTTCAGCTTAATCTGTAATAATTTTCACTTCTATCTGTGCTTTGTTATACGACTTCTTATTTTGTGGTTTGGGATTAACTCTTCGTCGATTAAGGATCCCTCTCATTCTTCCATTAACCCACTCTTTCACCACACACCATTCATCTCCCAACTCACTCTTCCACCAGCTCAAACATTCACCAACTGACACCATCAGCAACTTCTCTTCGTGATCATTCGGATCAGTACCGCCATTCAGACGAATGCCGTTCGATCGAATTACCACAGTTGTGCAACCACCCGCCATCAGGAGGAACGGGTTGGTATGGTCCTCATGACCATTTTAAGACTATTGCATTCAATTTACCAACTGTTTCACAGCACGACTTTTGCATCATTATTCATTCATGAACCATACAAACAACCAAAATGAGTAAAAGAATATCATCGAGTTCGACGGTACTTGTAAAATAGCCTCAAGGTAATTGTGTAGCAATTAGTACAAAACACAACTAACGAAAACAAAACAAAAATAAAACAAGGAAACAGGTGTCGTGAGATCGGACGAAATCCAAACATACGATGACTCAAAAACTTTACTTGCTGATTCTGTACAGAAATAAAACTCAATTCGACCAGAATTACGAAGAAATGTGTGTGTGTGTATATTTGTTTCATACGTGTTAGTCACAAAACGATGGGTGATAAAACAAAACAAAACGTATGTGGGATATGAGATCAACTATATAGTTAATGGAAAAACAAAGAGCAATGGTAGAATTTGGAAGAGATAAGTTGAAACGAAACGAAAATGATGCAAATGGAAAAAAAAAAATCCAATATGTTACATGAACTCAAGAAATGTGATGAATCTGCACGATCGAATCTTATGTTCCTAATCATTGTGACCGAAATGTGGTCTTTATCGCTATTCTGAACCTTGGCTTTGAAGTTTACAGTTTTACTTTGAGCATTTGTATCGTTGAACCGAATAAATAATAAACAATAGCTAAGTGGCAGAAATGATCAAATACCTGTTGGGATTTCTTCATGCGGATGGCGGAGCGATTGTCCCGAGCCTGCTGCAGGTAGGGCTGCTTCTGTTCGGTGGACAACAGGCGCCAGCGTTTGAAGATCTGCTTGCACCGATCACTCCAGTTCGGATACTCAATTTTGAGTTCCGGATGTTGAGTATTGCAGTACAGGACAGACGAAATCGTTGCCAGTTCTCCCAGAGCTGTCGTATGGGAGAAAATAATTGTAATTAGAGAGGAAGGTCAAATGGTTGAGCCGGCTGTGGGTTCATGAACAACTCACGTTCATCCAAACGCATGCGTTCGGACATTTTCTGTGCAGCAGATGCGCCAGACAGGACTCCGATTCCGTCGTCAATAGGACCCATGTTGGCGCCCATTTCAACTCCGCTCGGTCCGGGGCCTATCGACGGAATAACAGGACCAGTGGACACCATCGGCATGCCAGTGCTTTGCATCGGTTGCCCAGTAGGAGCCCATTGCGCTTGTCCCGATCCTGGAGTAGGGACCTGAGGAGATTGCTGCAGCAGCTGCGAGGGAAGTCCCCCTGGAATGACCTGTTGAGTAACGATCGGCTGCTGCGGCGGCAACTGCTGCTGCATTGGATCACCCATACTGAATTGATTCCTATCGTGAGTAAGCAACAAGATTAGAAATGCATAAAAATATTCCATTTGGTGGGTCGTGCAATTGAAAGCGGAGAAAATTATAAAATACTAGCCAATTTCATACTAGGCGCTTCCAATTTCGGGGCGGGGTAGGAATGGAAGTGAATGCAATGCGTTTTTTTAGATTAGCACGCGTGATTTAGAGTTGATTGTGCTCGCAAGCTAGCCAAATTTGTATGCAAAAAAAAATCAATGCGCGTTAGGTTTAGAGCTGAAAGAGTGGATAAAGGGGCTGCTAATTTTGCTGCCTAATAGATTAACGGATAACAGTGCAGTTAGTACAATAGTATAGCAAAAGGAAATTAAGGTTATGAAAACTGAAGAAGAGGTAGCTTAAAACGTGGTCAGAGCAGAAGGGTTGTCATTTCAGCACACTCCATTCCTACCTTTGTGGAAGGAAATTGTTAGAGTAATACCCTCGGTTTAGCTGCTGCTGTTGGACCTGCTGCTGCTGCTGCTGCTGAGGGTTTAGAATCATTGTTTGTTGGGGTTGCTGAAGTTGAACCCCTGGTGGCGGTTGCAGCTGCTGGGGTGGAATCATCGGTAAATGAGGCTGCGGAGTTGTCGGTGCCGAAAGAGACTGAATAGGCGTACCGGGAGTGCCCGGTTGCTGCTGGAGTGGCGATGGTTGTTGAATCATCATATTTGAACCCATTGGTTGGTCTTGAGGTGACTGATGGATGTGAGGCGACTGCATACCCATTTGATTCATCAAAGGAGTCTGCGGCGATTGCATTCCCAGGTTGACCTGCAGCGTGGGATCCGCCATTATAGGTAGGCTAGTCGGTGTGGGAGGCTGTTGGGATTGCTGTTGTTGCATAGGTTGAGGAAGCTGTTGTAATCCCATGGTGGCAGCGTTGATGTATCTCTGAGGTGCAGACTTCTTCGTCACGTCGATACTGTGTGAAGGCGTCGATGTATTCGACGTGTACGGAGTCATCGAGTTGGCGAACATAGATTCCTGAGATTCCTACAAAAATACAAAAATGCAAAATGGATTAGAACCCAAAACTATAATTATCAAAACAATACTAAACTGACCTGCGATTCATCCGTCAGTACGTTTTTGAAGATCTCTTCGACGTCTTTGCAATCCATTCCCAAATTATCCAAATTGAAATCCGGACTTAAGATATCGGCCAGCTCGTTCTTGGACGACTTTGTCATACTTTGAAGCTCACCGTCATCCGTCAGTTTTGTCAGTGTGTCGTCGTTTATTATTGTATTCACGAAATCTTCTTCGATTAAATCATGTGGGAAATCAAGATCCTTGAGTGCCTCCGTATCACTGTTATCGTCTTCTTCAGTTTTGATTGCTCCCGTTCCATTATCTTCGGATGATTCACCTGACGCAGCTGTAGACAGTGCCGCTTTGGTCTCCTGGGACTGAGTCTGTTCTAAACTCTGTTGTAGAGCTTTCTGTTCCTCCAGTAGTTTATGCTCCTCTTTAATTTTCATCTCTTGTACATACTTCAATTCGTCAGCAGACAGTTTGATGGTTTTATCTTCGGAAACATCGCTCTTCACTTCGTCATCACTTACATGCGCTTCGAATTTTACCGGGGGAGCATTGGAGCTAAGCAAAGGTCGCCCGAAGAAAGCATCCTGAAGAATGGTGGGATAAATTTCAATCAACTTATTCTTCTGTTTGCGTCGAATCTGTTTCTTCTTAGGTTTAACCTCTGGAGCACCTTCATCTCCGAGCTGAGGAATCAGTCCTTCGACAGCTTCCTCGTCGTCCTTTCCATCTTTCGTTCGTACGGTTCGATTCCGCACAAAAAAACCTCCAATGCCTAGTTTTTGCAGATTTCTTTGGCGCTTTTTCCTCAAAACCACAACACCCTCGTTGGTACATAAGGCGAATCCCTCAGGTGGTGTTGGGTCATTCCATACCATGCCGTCTTTGTAGATTTCGGCTTCCTCTTTGGGATCCAATGGTTCAACTTTAACATCGTCAAACGAATTGTCCAGACTGCTACCAGCAACGACAGACTCGATAGCCGCCATAATACCTGCATCTTTATCCGTGGACGGAGGTTCCAGTATAATCTTCGGTTTCCGCTTGCCACGCTTACCGAATTCCGCTTGCAGAGATTTTATCTGATGCAGACCATGCTCACTAAGGTAGACTCCGTCCACGTAGTGGTTTCCTTCCAGCGCTAACGGAATGATCTTTTCTTCCGGCTTGGGTGTAGATTTAGGAGTAGAAACGGGTGCAGGTAAGGCTTTCTTTTTGGGCACCAAATGTGGTGGAGGAAGATCAATTGGTCGACAGAGAAGGCAATTGTATCCCTCCTCTGCACATCGTTCTGCGTCATTTTCATTTTTAATCTGATCACATCCACAGTGTAACCACCGCTCACATTGGTTACACTGGATAATCAATTCTCCTTCGGCATATCCCTCCGCACAACTGGGGCAATTTACTTGACTAGCACAAGGACCACACTCTGAGTAGCTATTCAGCCAGCTGCAGTTGTACCCTGGATCGTTGGAACCGCATTTCAGGCAGATGGCACACCACTTGCACTTCCAATTTCCTTGCGGAACTTGCTCCAATGGAGGATCCATGCAGTATATGTGATAGGAGATGTCACAATCGTCGCAAAGGATTAATCGAGCTTCATCGTTCCGTTGACCACAGCCTTCGCAGATGGTACAATCAAGACAACGCCATCCTTTCTGCAGGATAACCTTTGTCACTTTCACATTGGTACAGTACGGATGATAGCACTGGCCGCATTGTGTGCAAGCTATCAAGCATCCTTCCTGGTCGGTTCCAATAGCTCCACACATTACGCAAATGTCCTGCGTCAAGACGAATTTATCCTTGGCTGAGCAAAGCACCAACCGATTGTCGCCACCCGGTTCATCTTCTGAAGCTTTACTAGCGGACACATCTGAAGTTGGTCGCTGCAGTCCCAATCCAGGCACCCCAAAAATTCCCCGCATTTTAGCCTTGGGACCACGTTTTCGGCTAAAGTCAGCCAATCGAGACTTTTTCTGAAAGCCTTTCCCCGTACCTTTCGGTCTAGGACCTCCGCTCAACGAAAGTCCGAGTCTCTTTTTTGCGATTTTGCTAGCCACAAATGGCTTCCCTTTGCCCAATCCAATGTCACCTGAAATATTCCTTTCTCGTGGCTCCAGATCCACGTCCATTGCGTCGTCGTTCAAACTTTCCTGAGACGCAGACATGCTGTCATCGTCGATACTGCTGTTTCTCCGCATGGCAGCTATTCTTCCCGTATGGATTTGCGTCTTACAAGGACTGCACAAATACTCATAGTCTGGATTGTTTTCCTTCTTGACATGATAAACAGTTAACTCTGCCTCCGGATCACACGTGCTATGAACAAACTTGTTGCACCCACTGCACTTTACCATCTCCCTGTGAGCCGCCGCCCTGTAAGCTCGATGACAAATCGGACACGAAAAACCTTTATTTCTTTGTTGATAACAGGAATCGCAGACCGTATAGTGTGCATGCCACCGAGATGACGCTCCGGCTCCGGGCGTTCTCGATCCGCAGTCCGAACACACTCGACAGCATTTGCACTTCCACCCGTACTTTGGGATCGAAGTCATAACCGGTCGCAAACAATTCGCGTGATAAATTTTATCACACTGCTCACAACCTACGGTTCGACCCTCGCTAGAATCAGGCACACGACAAATCTGGCACTTTTTACACGAAGAACACTGCCAACCAGCACGCACCCCAGGCAACTGAGCCATCCCAACACACTTCCCGTGGTAATGATCACCGCAGATCGAACACATCATCAAATTGCCGACGTCGCCCAAACCAGAGCACTGTCGGCAGTTTATGTCGTCCGTACATACTAAAGGCACTTGTCCAAGATGTTCCTTGCAGAAGCAGTTGTACGATTGGATCACCTGGAAGCCACCGGCTGCCGCGATACACGGAAAGTGGAATGATTTCGGGCAAGACATCTGGAAATATGGGCAAAATGTAGTCCAGAATCTATTATAACAGTTCCAATGCCAAATCAGGGATTTACCTTGCACGATAAGCTAGCTCCATACCGCGTGCAGAAGTAGCACTTTTTGTTTAAGCTCTGCGCAACCACAACTTCCAGATTGCTCAAGGTTCCGGTTATCGCATCCCGACCAACACCGAACGACCAGATTGCACACGATCGGTGAATGTAGAAATATCCACCATCATTGATGTTGGTAAATTCTGTCGGTTCGGAATGTCCAATCTTCTCCAGTTCATCCACGTATTCAGCCGTGATTACTGGATTCCTGTAACGTACAAAGACCCCCCGTAAAGATCTCAAAGCACGACTAAATAAAACGGAAACTTACTTGCACTTGTTCAATCCTTTCTGTCGCTTATTGCTGCTCAACAGTGGCGGTACTCCGAGGGCATTACCCGCTTTGGGACTTGCGCCGGGACTCGACAGGGAACCTTTATCTTCCTGCGACTGCAGAGCCGCCGCTGCTACTGCCAGCTGCGCATCGTCCTTGACTTCGATCCGTAAAATCTCACCCTGTCCCAGTTGACTCCGCTCACCCAGATTACACAAGGCGCACATCTTACCCGAGTACTTTTCCGGAAAGTACGGTGATTCTTCCGGTGCAGGCATCAATAGTGCCGGATCGATTTCCATCTCGGCCGTAGGTGTTGACGCAACCGAACTGTTTGCCGTACTGGCAGATGGTGTCTCATCGCCAGGGGAAGGCAGTAACAACGACGTCAAACCGGAAGAAGAGGCTCCTCCTTCGCCTCCCAGGCCGGACAGTGTCGTGTCCGATTTCCTTTTAGGAATACTACCACGAACTACATTAGTATTCTTAAATCTAGAGAATACGGGGCTAGACTAATTAGGAACACTGCATTGGCTAATGGGGGGAAAAATTACCTTTTGATAAGTTTCGTTTCCAAGCTGGTTCCGGTTAGGACACCTCCGCTGAATTTCAGCGTGGGACCAGAGGTTACCGGAGATCCTCCGATCCCGTTACCACTACCGGACGGGTTTGTTGACATTTTCAACAACGGCAGAAAGTCCCTCTTTGGTCGACCTGGACCACGACGAAGCGCCGCGGCCGAAGGTTTTCCCCCGCCAAGGCCGAACCGGCCTGTCAGAGGGATAGTTATCGGTCGGACTAACGGAACGGATGCCTCCTGTTGGGATTGTTGTTGTTGCTTTTGCTGAGTGCCGCTACTGCTACTGCTACCAGCTGTGATCTGAAGCGGCAGCTCCAGAGATTCTTCAATCAGTGACGACTGACAAGTGATTGGTGTTGTGGTGGGATCCAAAATGGCATCTGCACAAATAGGGAATAGGTACAGGGGGGAAAGAAACTGTTGTAGTTTGCTACGGGTTTGCTACTTCTATTCGTTTCTGTTGGATCGTTTTGGTATCAATTTTGTATTTTGTAGCGAGTTTGGATAAGAAATTTCACGAAATGTCGTAGAATATTGGCAATCTTTTGTAGTGGTGAATTTGATTTTTTTTAGTTAAGTCTGCTCATAAAACTTAACTTGTGGCATGCTTCTTAAGTTGATGCAGTGTTGGAAAAGTTCCCGATATTTCACCAAGGCAAAAGTTCACGAGTCATAGTGAGTTTTAGTAAACTTTTCCAACACTGAGCTGATGTCTACCAAGTTTTTTTTTTCAAGAATTTCATTGGAAATATCCCAGGATTTCTCCAGAGTTCTTTTACATAATTTTAAACTCCCCTGAAATTGTCTCCACTACATTCTAGAATTACTCCAAAGACATCTTGGCATTCATTTTACAATTCTCGTTGAATTTTTCAAAATGCTTGCTGCAATTTGCATACATTTATTTGCATAGCTTTCTTCCAAATTTACTTCTGAATTCCCTTAGACATCTTATCCGAAAACGTTCGCAAATATACTTAAAATATCATCATTGAATTTCCCCAGAGATCATTTCTTTTTTTATTGGGTATCAAGCTGGAGCTGCGTGACAGCTTTATTTTCAAGACGGTCAATAAATTTTGCTTCTATCTTTGACAATACAACAGAAGAACTAGCCTATGTTGGCAGCTTGAACACTGGATTCCGTGTGTATTGTTTCAAGATAGTAGATACATCCGCGTAGTAATCCGAAGATGCGCCAACGCGTAATTGGATGGCAGCCGATCAACGCGAGGATGGGCAAGTTGAGGATTAAGGGCTGTTTCTTCAACTACAGCAGTGACATGAACGCTCAGGTAGGACGGGAGGCAATGTATAGACCGGTAATCGGGTCAAACAGCCTGTATGCCGTATCGAACGACAACGGCCAACGATGCGTGAACTTTGCAGCCTCTCGGGGTATGGTAGTTCGAAGTACCTTTTTCCCCCGCAAGGATATCCATAATGCCACCTGGATATCACCTGACCAACACACAGAAAACCAAATCGATCTCGTTCTAATCGACGGTAAATTCTTCTCCGACATTATCAACGTCCGCACGTACCGCAATGCGAGGACCACAACCTAGTTGCAGTATGTATGGGCTCAAAACTCTCGACGGTGCATAACACCCGTCGAAGTCGAACGCCGCGACCCAACATTGAGCAACTACGGGACGCCGGAGTTACCCAGAACTACGCGCAGCAGCTGGAACTTGCACTACCCACGGAAGAGCAGCTTGGCGCAGCTTCTCTTGAAGATGGCTGGAGGGATATCCGTTCCGCCATAGATAGTACTGCTGCAGCGGCACTAGGTACTGCGATCCCGGACTGAAGAAATGACTGGTTTGAAAGCGAATGCAAACTGTTAGTAGAGGAGAAGAATGCAGCACGGGCGAGAATGCTGCAACATCGCACGAGATTGAATGTTGAGCGATACAGACAAGCGCGGAACAGACAAAACTCGGTATTCCGAAGGAAGAAGTGTCAGCAGGAAGACCGAGATCGCGAGGCGATGGAAAATCTGTACCGCGTAAACGACACACGGACGTTCTACGAGAAGCTGAATAGTTCGCGCAAAGGTTACGTGCCGCAAGCCGATATGTGCAAGAACTTGGACGGTAACCTTCTCACGAACGAGTGTGAGGTGATTGAGAGGTGGAAGCAGTACTATGACGAGCACCTCAACGGTGAAGCAGCAGAAAACGAAGGTGGCACGGCAACAGACCTTGGAGCACGCGCAGAAGACGACAGCCTACCGGCCCCTGATCTTCAAGAAGTTGAGGAGAAGATCGGTCGGCTGAAGAACAACAAAGCAAATGATGTAGATAAACTACTAAGTAAGCTATTAAAATACGGTGGTGAAGCACTAACTAGAGCGCTGCACTGGGTAATTGCCAAGATTGGGAGGAGGAGATATTACCGGAGGAGTGCATGGAAGGTGTCGTATGCCCAATATACAATAAGGGCGACAAGTTGGATTACTGCAACTACCAGGCGATCACACTGCTGAGCGCCGCCTACAAGGTACTTTCCCAAATTATATGCCGCCGCCTGTCACCATTTGCAAGAGAGTTCGTGGGGCAATACCAGGCGGGATATTCATGGGTGCCCGCGCTACCACGGACCAAATTTTCGCGATTCGGCAGGTTCTGCAGAAATGCCGCGAATACAACGTGCCCACACATCATTTGTTCATCGATTTCAAATCCGCATACGACACAATCGATCGAGATCAACTATGGCAGATTATGCCCGAGTATGGATTTCCGGATAAACTAACGCGATTGATCAAGGCGACGATGGATCGAGTGATGTGCGCTGTTCGAGTATCGGGGACACTCTCGAGTCCCTTTGAATCTCGAAGGGGGTTACGGCAAGGTGATGGACTTTCGTGTCTGCTATTCACCATCGCGTTAGAAGGTGTGATCAGAAGAGCTGGGATAGACACGAGTGGCACGATCTTCAGGAAGTCCATCCAGCTTCTTGGCCTCGCCGATGACATTGACATCATGGCACGGAACTTTGAGACGATGGCGGAAACGTTCATCCGGCTGAAGGCTGAAGCTAGGCGGATTGGACTTGCCATCAACGCATCAAAGACAAAATACATGAAAGGAAAAGGTTCTAGGGAAGACAATGTTAGCCGAGTTCAGATTGACGGTGACGAAATCGAGGTGGTCGATGAGTTCGTGTATTTGGGCTCACTGGTGACCGCCGAAAAAAGAGAAATTCAAATACGCATTATGGTAGGGAATCGTGCCTACTTTGGATTCTGGAGGACACTCCGGTCGAATAAAATTCGCCGCCACACGAAGTTGACTGTCTACAAGACGCTGATTAGACCGGTGGTCCTCTACGGCCACGAGACCTGGACTATGCTCGTGGAGGGCCAACGCGCCCTTGGTGTTTTCGAACGGAAGGTGTTGCGTACCATCTACGGTGGAGTGCAGATGGATGACGGAACGTGGAGGAGGCGAATGAACAACGAATTGCACCAGCTGCTGGGAGAACCATCCATCGTCCACATTGCAACAATTGGGTGACTATGGTGGGCTGGGCACATCGTAAGAATGCCGCACGACGACCCAGTGAAAATGGTTCTAGAAAGCGACCCAACAGGAACAAGAAGAGGCGCGCAGCGGGCAAGATGGATCGACAAAGTAGAAGGCGACCTGCGGACCCTTCGCAGACTACGAAGCTGGCGAAGTGTGGCGATTGATCGAGTAGAGTGGAGACGACTGATTGGTAAGGTAAGGTAAGTTCACACTAAGCCTAAGCAGTCCATAATTTTACACTCTGTTCGTCACACGACATAAGCAAAGTGATTGTCCTTCACCGCCGAAACGGCAGTTATCTATGGAAAACCAACTTTTTGTTTCACCATGTGTGGATGTCAAACAACAGACAAGAATGCCATATGAAAAAAGCTAATTTATAATTTTCGTGGTGAAATGAAATAAATCCTTACAAATTGAACCGAGTTTCATCTTCTTATATCAACGAATAGCATTTAAAATACTTTGGTTTCTTCAGTTAATTTTTGCTCTTGAATTTCATTATCCTTCAGTTTTTGCTTTGAACATAGTTGTGCAATGAAGGCTTGTCCTGGACCCGTAAAATAAAAAAAAATCTATGTTACTCTTCTGGGGTAAGTAAAGTAAACTGCTGAAATTGAAAATTAGTCAAATTACATGATATATAGACATATTTAGCTTAATGCATTCAAGGCTTTCGAAAGACGCACAAAATTCACCACTGTACTATTTAAGCTAGTACTTCAAATTGTACATTTTGCAGTACTAGCTGCGTATACATTATCTTCCTACTCCGGTTCTCCTTTATCCGACACATCACGGTCTCTTATTGAGCTTTTCTTTACAGGGCTGGTAGTGAGTATGTGATGTAATAGTAGTGACTTTAGTGACTAAATCTACGAAAATAGTGACCAAATAGTGACTTTTAAACAATAAAAAAGTGACCAATAGTGACATTTATTGATCGGAAAGATATGGTTCCAATCATCCGTTATTACGGTATTGTTCATGCTTTTTTAAAATAAAACAAATGATTTAAGGATCACATAAATTTTTTATAGCATAATAAGTATGAATTGCATAAGCAAGAGCACGTTCCAATTCTAACCTCCATTTATTCACTCTGCAGATCACGAATTTGTTGGCCCTTGTTACGGGTGTCACTTCACTTCACCGTGAGTCATAAGTTGTGAAGTGACATCGGTAATAAGGGCCGTTATTAGATTGCGAAATTGAGGCACAGAGAAAAATGTTCAAAGTACCGATTTTGGACATTTTTTTTTTCAATTTTAGGACAGCAATTTTTGAAGATCTAGGATATATATGAAGCGATGCATTTAGCAACATGAAGAATTTCAATCTAGAAACAAATTTACATAGATCTAAGTTAGCGATGAGTATATTAATAAAAGATCCTTCTCTTCTATGTAGTCGCTATAACGAACTGGTCGTCTTTTTACTTTGCTAATTCCTCCCAAGAATAGAATCTTCTGTAACACCTCAACAAACATAAAAAAGAATCATAAGTCTGCGATCTAGACAACTTTTCTAGATCGCAGTTTAAGAAAAAAAAAATCATTATGACACGAGGAAAATTTTCCAAGATGGAATGATCACGGACATAAAACAAAATTTAATGCGTCGACTTATAACGAATATACAGTATGCAAAAAAAAGTTTATCAGTCTCATCGCGACATCATTTCTCGACTACTTTTTCGAAGGGACGTATCAGTTTTTGTCATTTGTTTAGTTACGCCAAATCGACGATCAAATGCATTGTTTACAAAAGCTTATAAGTCCCTTCGAAAAACTAATCGAGATTTATTGTTTCCGCGAAATTTCGAAGTTCAAATGCGCAACAAA